CACCTGATTCTTAAGATAATAATAGTTTATGGCAGAAAATCCATGTTTTTTTCCTGATTAAGCCGAGGGTCTATAATTAACATTACACCAACCTAAAACTGTCCAACACATTACAGTGTCTCGCCCACCTTTGGGATTATATGGTATTAATTGTAGAGCTTTGGCCGCAAGCAACCTTGGCTTGGTCATTGGTGCCCAAGGCGCTGCAATATCTACTATACGTAATATACGTAATAGAATACTAGATAGTGCTTGCAGAAGTAACTAGACACTGGTGAAAGAAAACTAAAAATTACTAATAAAAAACTATATACGGCTTCTAGAAGTCTAGTTTTTGCTGAAAGTGGGCTAAATACTGCTAATAGAAGACCAGATACCGTTGAAAGAGAACTAAAAATTGCTAATGGCAGATAAGATGCTGCTTGCAAACCACGGTATCTATACCGTTGGCATAGGAAACACCGGTAGTGAAAACTAGATGTTGCTTGCAGAAGAATACCAAATATCGCTTGTGATGGATATATTATTGGCTGAAGACTAAATATTGTTATTAGAGGACCAGAAAAATCTTGATAGTCAGAAACTTTAGGTAGTTCGTATAATCTTTACAAAGTATCTGTAGTTCTTCTTTGATAACTATTATTAATACCAACCTCTTCTAGTTTACTAATAATTACTTATATTAGGTTGAAATTGAAGTTAATATCCATTATACCAGCTTGTTTAACGTGATAGAAAAAATTTCGAATTTTGTTGTACTTTTACTGGTTTATTTATATTTTTGTTGTCTAACTAGTTTCGGCAAAAAGCCATCATCAGAGACCATCTTGTAACATCTGCCACAAAAGATGTCCATGCGGAGTTAAATCTTTTATAAAAAAAAATTTTTACGTTTATTTTAAGTAAATTATGTGACAATAATAATTTTGATTTGTTCACCGCTTTATGTTTTCGATGTTAATTTCCTGTAAAATTCATTAACTTTTGTCTCTGATGATGGTTTTTTGCCGAAACTAGTTAGACAACAAAAATATAAATAAACCAGTAAAAGTACAACAAAATTCGAAATTTTTTCTATCAAATTACTTATATGCTGTAAATCTGCGTTTCTCAATCATTCGATCAAGCGATACAGACAAAAGTTATTATTTGCTTCACGATACTCAATGAACCAAAGAGAACTTATTAAATGAAGTAGTACCCCATATTTAATTATAAAAATCATACATAAAATGGAAAAGCCCGCTATTGTTAGTAGACCATGAGATAAGATAATAAGAATGGCGTTATCCTTATTTATTTTGCGAAATCATGTCGTATAAAACGCAAAAAAATCTTTATTTTTAACGTGAATTAAAATCTCAATACAATCTTTCAAACTTAAAAACATTTAGTCATCTTGAATTGTTTTAAGTAATTCACCTCTACTTTTAATTTATGATAAAGATACGAAATTTTCTTGAATTTTTACTAACACTTCAAGGTTTATTAATAAAAAAAAATACCCGAAATTTATCATTAAAATTCTCTAATATTGCAATTCAGCCGAGAAGTATAGATATATCCGTTAGTTTTTAAACACCCCCTGTATAAGATAGTGCGATGTGTGTCAATTACCGTGTCAAATATATCGCGCATTACTACACTACAGAAGTGTGTACCAGTTTTGATACACACGGCAGTCAACGTGTTAAGTAGATAAATAGTATTAAAAACAATCTGTTAAAATCTATATATTTTAAAATAGTTTTTATAAAAATAGAATTGTTGTCTATTTTTGGTAAACCGAAAATGGCGGCCATCTTGAAAACAGTTTAGATCGAAAGATCAGGATGCACTACTTCTATAATCTCAATTTCAAAGACATAGGAGTACTAGAACCCAAGAAAAAAACCTTTTAATAAACTGCTTACGTTAAACAATGTATATGTCGCAGGCAAATGGTTACTTCAGGTAGATAGCTTTTTCCTAGTCAGATGGTTAGACAAACTACTGACTGCCTAGGCAAACAGTAGTTTGTTATCATTAAATACCTAGGCAAATACTATTGGACAAGACAAATAGTATCTGTCTAAGCTTGTTTTAGGCAAATACCATTTTTTCGATACAACAATGTAATATAGAGTAGGTACCTGTTCACAATAAGATAAAGTAGTTCCTATCTTTATCAACCTACTTTCCTTAAAGTAAAGTCACTAATGAATGCTATTTGCCTAGGAAAGTAGAATTTAGACTGAAATAAATGGAATAAAACTATTTAGCTAGGCAGATAGTATCTGACTAGGAAAATGCTATTTGTCTGAAACAACCATTTGCCTGTGACATATATAAAGGTGTTTTAAAATGGTAAATATTTTGAAGGAATAAGGCAATATTTTCTAAACTTTCTTGATTGAAATGTAAACAGAGTCATAAATATTTGTTTAGCAATGTTTCTAATAAATTGTTTGAAAATCAGGTTATCAGTATACAATAGTTGTCTTTTGATAAGATAATCATTAGGGGAATCCATTATTCAAATCATCAAATACTAGTCGTGTTTTCCCATAATTTATTACCATTCTACTAAGTTTATAAAAATCGGGCGGTTTTAGCCAAATCTTATATGATACTTCCGTAATCAGCATGAGCTCGGTGGCAGCATCTAATTTTTTTTATGCTATAGAATATTTCATTTGTTACATAAAGACAGATTCAAGTCTCTTTTAGCTCCCTTTAGTTTAGTGTTTGCCTACTATACTGTATACTGCATCAGAACTAATGAAAATTTAAGGAAGTATATCAAATGGTTGTTGATGACTTATGTGTCAAAAAGAGATATCCGTATATAAGAGTCTGATAACTTGTAAGAAGAAGGTGCATGGCACGAAGAAGCTGAAATTGGCAGAATGGCTTTTTGGCAGAAAGGCAATACGATGGGACTGCGATGCTGCAACAGAAAAGATGTGTACTTAATGAGAACATGTCATAAAAGTATCGATAAAGCAATTACAATCAACCGAATACTACAAACACAGCAAAAAAGGCTATAAAAAGATATTTAGTTTCATCTAATGAATCTTCTTGAGCAGTGGTTTTGAAATGCCTATATTCTGCACAGAGAAAAGAGTGACAAGTCTGATTCATTCTGATTTTATTTGGAAAGTTGCAAACAAAATTTTTGGGAACAAGAAAAAATTGTATTGAGATTTTAATTCACGATAAAAATAAAGAATTTTTTTGCGTTTTATGCGAAAATAAATAAGGATAACGCCATTCTATTTTTGAGTATTCTGAAACAAATAATAACTTTTGTTTGTCTAGCAGCTAGACTCTAGCTTGATCGAATGATTTAGAAACGCAGACTTAAAGCATATAAGTAATTATTAGTAAACTGGATGAGGTTGGTATTTTTAATAGTTATCAAAGAAGAACTACAAACACTTTGTAAAGCGTACACGAACTACCTAGACGGTATTGTAATAGTGCAAAATTTTGATCTTAAAATTTTTCAGGTCATAGTAACAATATTTAGTCTTCAGCCAACAATGTATCCTCCACAAGCGATATCAGGTATTCTTCTGCAACCAGTATCTAGTCTTCTGTTAGCAGTATTTAGTCTTCTGTTAGCAGTATTTAGTCTTCTGCGAGCAGTAGTTAGACTTCTGCAAGCAGTATCTAGTATTTTATTACCAATGTATCTTCTGCCAGCGGTATCTAGTGTTTTACAAACAGTACCTTATCTGTCATTAGCCAAGGACAGTAGAATCTAACAGGACTGCTATATGCATTGTTGTGACAACCTGCCCGCAAACTACGTCATACCATTTTCCACGCCCAGCTGTTGTTATGGTCTATGCGTTTGCTGTGTATTTTTAGAGGTTATATCCTAGACGTATTCATATTATTTTTGAAGTTTTATGTTTTTAGACGTATTAATGTCTATCATATAACCTCTAAAAACACAGACAGTTGCCAGGCATGGCAAATAGTATGATGTAGAGTGCGGGCAACCAACCCGTAGTGGACTACAAAAATACAATGGATGTAGCAGTCCTGTTAGATTCTACTGTCCTTGTCATTAGCAACTTTTAGTTCTCTTTCAGCAACATCTAGTCTTCCACTAGCAGTATTTAGTCTTCCATTAGCAGTATTTAGTCTTCTGTCAGCAGTAGTTAGACTTCTGCAAGCAGTATCTAGTGTTCTATTGCCAATATATCTTCTGCCAGCGGTATCTAGTGTTTTGCAAACATTATCTTATCTGTCATTAGCAACCTTTAGTTCTCTTTCAGCAACATCTAGTCTTCCACTAGCAGTATTTAGTCTTCTGTCAGCAGTAGTTAGACTTCTGCAAGCAGTCTAAGCTATCTAGTGTTGTATTACCAATATATCTTCTGCCAGCGGTATCTAGTGTTTTGCAAGCAGTATCTTATCTGCCATTAGCAACTTTTAGTTCTATTTTAGCATTATCTAGTCATCTACTCAATACCATCAATGTCTGTAAATGGATTTGGACGTGGTACTATGAATGTTGTTAACCCGGAATGCCTAATAACCCGGCATATTTATTAAACCAATAAAAAGTGGTTATTATTACAGCAACTAAATGTATTATTTTGTGTTTTTAACTTTATCAAGTCCTCGAATGTTTGCTAGATTCTTATTTGTACATATTTAACTGAGTAATTCCTAGAATTATAGGCTTACTATATAAAACAAAAATTTCCACGCAAACAAATATCGTTTTGTGTACAAAATTATTATAATCTGGCCGCCAAGGAGATTAAACAAAACAGAAAGCACTTACCTTATTAATCTGGTATATTGGAACTATGTGGATCTTTTTTTCATAAAACTCCTTATTCCATTAACTCCATGCAGTGCTTTAGTATTTATAGCTCCATGTTACATTGTACCCTGAAAATGAAACATTCTATTAATATTGATTATAAAAGATATAATACATCAAAATTTTCAACTAAATAACATTTTAATCTATAACAACTCTCTTTCTATTTCAGGTATTAACACCAAAACGTTTCAACGACGTCTATCTTTACGACATGCCCCAATCGAGATGTTCCCCATCAATGATGACTTCAAACATCAGTCCTAGAGATCAAAGTAACGACTACGACATTCTTCCAAATAGACCACCGGTTCCGGTTCTTGATAGAACATCCTGTCCACGTTGTTCTCCAGCACCATCTTGCACATCCCCCGTAATGGATAGTTACGACGTCCCCCGCCCGCTTTTTCACCATCAAAATCAATTAACACCATCAAGTTCTGCAAGTTCATTAACAGCGGATTCTTTTAGTTCATCAAATCGAAGCAGCGTTGCAAACATGCCTGATTACGACATACCCCGTCCGTTAAATAATAGGGGTCCGATGTTGTTGTTGCAACCCTCTTCTTGTCAAGTCTATGACGTCCCGCAAAGTCAACAACAAGTTAAAGAGTTACCTTTAGAGTTAACTTCGGCTTTGGAGACTTTGGATAAATTACAAGGCGAAACGAAAAGTGCTGTTTCAAGATTGTTGAGTTACGTAGTTCCCGAATGGAGGCAAATGGGAAAGTTGGAACAAAATTTGATGGAAATAAGATTAGCCGTTGAGAGATTGAGGACTTCTTTGCATGATTTAGCGGAGTTTTGCGAAGGGGCTTTAGGAAACGCTACAAAAGCCACCGATAAAAATTTACCGGCGAAATTATCCCCTTTAGTTGTCGCTTTAAGAAGTTCTGATAAACTGGTGAATGAAGCAGCCGATAAATTAAACCAAATCGATTGGTCTTTACACGTTTTAGCAAGAAACAACGAAAACGAAAAATCTTACAAACCCGACGAACTCGAACAACTCATCGCGTGCTCAAAAGCTTTAACAGACGACGTACGACAAGTCGCTTCTTTTATTCAAGGAAATAGCACGTTATTATTTAAAAAAGATACAATTATCGAATGGACCGAAGATTACGATTACGTTAGTTTAGAATCAAAAGAGGCGAATACAAAGAAACACGCCGAAATTCGCGAGGCTCTCCCTCCAAAACTACAAAAAGGTTACGACACATTAATCAAAAACGTTAATGATTTATCATTAAACAACGATCGACCTAATTTGGATCACGATGAAAAACAAATTTTACAATTTTTCGCCACTCAAGCGATCACGCATCATAATTATTTAACGCAAGCGATCGATGCTTTTCTTCAAACCGTCGAGCATAATCAGCCGCCTAAAGTGTTTTTGGCACACGGTAAATTCGTCGTATTAAGTGCTCATAAATTAGTTCATATCGGAGATACGGTACATCGAAATATTTCGCAAAACGATTTGAAAAATCAAGCGTTGAATTGTGCGAACACTTTGTACGAAGCTTTATCGACGAGCGTTCGTAAAACGAAAGAGGCAGCTCAACAATTTCCTAGCGTAACGGCTGTTCAAGAAATGGTTGATTCGATCGTTGATATTTCCCATTTGGCTAGGGATTTGAAATTGTGTTTAGTTCAAGCAGCAAGTTCTTAAAAAAAAAGACTGATTTATTAAAATAACATCGAAAATTTTTTCTACATACAATTTATTTGTATATAATTTAATTTACTGCCGATCTAAGCCCTTCTTTTTCGACTGTGATACAAATTTCCTTAGCTCTTAAAATATAAGCTTGTTTTAGTTTTAATTTTTTTTAATTAAATACACATTTTTATTATTTACTTTTTATAAATATATATTTTTTTTTTTGTATTTGTGATGTTTACTTAGACGCTCAAAACGTTTTATCACTTAATTTAAATGGGCTTTTATTAATAGTCATTCAGGCCACTATTTAAATTATAATAAAACAATAAAGACTTTATTATTAATATAACAGTCAATTGATGTTAGTATTTCAACTTATTATGATATAACTAAAATGATAACCTATATTTATATACACGAACATATTTAAACAAAGATAAAACAACTAATATGTTCCTTGCTTAAAATGTTTTTAAAATGAATACATTTCAAATTTATTAAGTGTAAAGTAGATTATATTTTAACGGTTTATTTGAATATAATTTGTATATATTGTACTATTTTGCATTTTAGTTTTAAAATGTACTGTTTTTAAAAGAATATTTTTATTTTTACGTGTATTAATTAGTATATTGGAATAAAAAATATAACATTTTATGCAGTATCTGTGTAATATTTATATATATATTTACATTATCTGTAATAATAAAAGATGTGCATTTAATTTATTGTTTTTAAATTGTTATTTAACCCAATTTTCAAGGTTCCCACGAGTTCTAGTTTTAATAAAATGTACAACAATCTAATTCTGAATACTAATACTAGAACTAACCCTAGATCTAGAAACATTAGGGTTTAGCCTGATGTCCCTTAAGACGGCTAAAGCCGAATATTTCTAGTTCTATGCCTAGTATTAGTTCTAGTTTTAATTCGATAAAAATATACAACAATTTAACGCATTTAGGGCCGGTTTATCAATATCTAGTTAAGACGATTTATCTGTCAATTAAAATTGTAGCTGATAGATAACGTCGACGAATCGTTTATCGTTTATTATTTAATAAAATTAGAATATAACGTCAAAAATAAATTAAGCTTATAATTGTGGTGATGGATAAGCAAGAGAAAGAAAAGATCATTAAATTTTAGTGCAGCAGAAAAGAACTTGCTGATGGATTTGGCAAATGAATATAAAAATGTTATAGAAAATAAATAATAATCTAGTAATTAAAAAAAAAATAACAATCTATAATCTAATACAGTATAATCTCGTCTCAATTGTAACCAAGATTGACAAAACTGTGTTTTTTTTAACTGAAATCCAACTCCTCAAAGTGGTTTTGACTTTTGTCTTTCTTTTATAATACAGGGTGATTTATAACATACGGAGGAGACTAAATGGGTAGGTACTTGAGGTCAAACTGAAGAGATTTTCTTAATAATGTTTTGTTAAAATCTTAATAGTTACATAGATATCGCATGTTAATTTCTTAAATAAGTTAGCGTCAACTTTTGAGAACCGCTGATATTCACTAAAGAACAATTAAAATACTTGTCAACGCCATCCTCATTTTTGAAGGAGCTGTCAAAGTAGACAATTTAATTGTTTAGTTTTAATACGTAATTTATGAAAAGAAATAATAGATGTTAATTTATGAAACGGATAATAATAATGTTTTAAATGCAAAATTACAAAATCTCTAAAACAAGAAAATAACAATAATAATCTCTTTATAACATATGTTCAAAGTGCTGTCCTTGCATTTCAACGCACAACTGGGCACGACGAATCCAATTTAACGATAATCGTGGAAATCGTGGACGTATGTCCTCTGTAGCGGCAGTGATGCGATGTCGTAGTTCGTCGATTGTATTAACCTCGGTGGCATATACTCTATCCTTCATGAATCCCCATAAAAAAAAGTCCAATGGGTTAAGATCGGGACTACGTGGTGGCCATGGATTAGGTCCACCTCGACCAATCCATTTTTGCCGAAAAGCATTATCGAGGAAATCTCGTAAATTACGACTAAAATGTGCAGGACAACCGTCGTGCATAAACCACATCTCACGTCGCATAAGTGGCGGAATATCTTCCAGGAGTACTGGCAGATTTTCTTGTAAAAACTGTAAATAAGAAGTTCCATTAAGAGTTCCTGGTAATTCGAAAGGTCCTATTAACGTATTGTTCACAATTCCCGCCCATAGATTCACTCTGAATCGTTATTGAAAAGAGCCTTGACGAATAACGTGTGGATTTTCGTCCGACCACACATGGGAATTGTGAACATTTAGAACACCATTTCTGGTAAAACAGCATTCATCCGTTACCAGTATACTGTCCGCAAAATCTGCTTCTCTGTTGGTACGATTTAGTAGCCACTCGCAAAATTGCAACCGCAAAGGATAGTCAGCGGGAGTCAGTCCTTGCACTTTTTGAAAATGATAGGGGTGTAAACCGTTACTTTTCAACGTACGCCAAACAAAATTCTGGGATACCTCGAGTTGGTGAGAAATTTGACGAGTACTCGTGCTTCGATCCGCTTCCACAATTTCTAGAATTTCTTCTTCCACATTCACTCCATGTCTGTTTAGTCTACCGCCACCAAGACCTTTCTTAGGTTGCAAATTTCCTGTCTCTCTTCCCCGCTGGATTAACCGAAGAAAAGTGTTTTCAGAAGGGATCTGTCGATTTGGATATCGTTCTAAATACAGACGTCTTGCGTGTGCAGCGTTTTCTCCAGCAGCTCCATAAATAATAAGCATATCTACGTATTCTTCGTTACTGTACATTACCATTGTATTTTTTGATTAGTAAAAATTCTAATTTTGACGTTAAATGACATTGATTATTAAAATTAAATGACATGTCCGTTGCTAGGTAACCAAGTCAACTGGATTGACAGCAATAAAAACATGGTATCAGCGGTTCTCAAAAAACAAACACCAGTTTTTGAGTGATTTAACAAATTTTTAAATAGCCGTAACTGCCATATTACAAAGATTTTATTATTGGTGCTAATCAGGCATTGCTTAAGTAACCCCGAAATATTCGCAGTTTGAATTTAAACGTAGTGTAATACCGTATATCGTAAGAAATGCTGGGCAATTAATTCAACTTTAATGCTCTATATCTTTGTGATTATTACGTTGTAGTCAAAACATTATTAAGAAAATATCTTCAGTTTGGCCCCTACTACTTGCTCTTTTAATCTGCTCCGTATGTTATAAATCACCCTGTATATGGTCGTCGTTTATAATTTAAGAATTGGACAATATCCTCATCTTTATCGCTGTCTAATAATAATAAATATTTATGTAGGAATTCCATTATAAAAGAGGTTTTCGAAAACAAAGCACAATATCGAAAGCCCACAGGAATGATAACCTCCAAAACACGATCAGCTGTTTATAATAATAATAATATAATATAATTGCTGGAGAAACGGTTCACTGAGGTTATCTGTTAGGCAAGTTTATCCATGAGTTGCGTATCTAACAGATTTAACTCGACATTGATAAACCGGCCCTTATTCATTTATTTATGTATACATACAGGTGTTTCGGTGACTCGGGGAACAGATTTAACCACATATACTAGAGTGAAAATGATGACGATACATGTAAAAAAAAAATTAGTAAAAGTCTTCAAATTTCAAAGACAAACAGGCCATCAAAGTTAGGAAATTTTAACACATTTTTCCAAATATCTTAAACACTATTTACAGTAAAGCGCTGAAATTTGGTACAGTGTAAATCAATGTGATGTAAAATCGTTAGGCAATTTATAAGTTGGAACAATGCTATACAGGCTTTTTCTTCTATCATAACGCTACATTTATTTTTACAGTTTCTAATAGTAAATTTAGTTTAGAAACTTTTATTACTCTTAGATAATATTGATAAAAATCACCGTTTTCCTGTTAAATGCAAAAATGTTGGGTTCTGATTTCAATAATAGCACTAAATAAAAGAAAATCTATGTTTTTGAACATTTCCTTTAGTATTTTTTATTACTTGTCTTGTTATTTTATGTACTTTTTTTATTATTCCTGTTAGTGTTGTCGTTTTTTTGTTTATTTTTTGTTGATTTTTAATTTATTGTTTTTGGATTCTTTTATTAAACCAACTAAAACAAATTAAAAATGTTATTTAGCTAAATCTACGCTTGGACATGTTGCATAAATAATAGTTATGACAGCTCAGTTCGATTTTCACTTATCATTGCCAATTCAGATTATTTATTTATTTTTTTTAGTGTCATTGAATTCGGAGCCTAAAATTTTTGCATTTAATACGAAAACGGTGGTTTCTATCAATATTCTCTAAGAGTGATAAAAGTTTTGAAACTAAATTTACTATTAGAAACTGCTAAAATAAATATAGGGTTATGAAAGAATAAAAAAGTTCTGAGCAAACAAACTTTAGGAGCCTGTATAACATTGTTTCCGCGTACCGATCCAACTCAAAAATTGTCTAATGATTTTACGTGATATTAGTTGACACTGTACCAAATTTAATAAACGCTTTACTATAAATAGTGTTTAAGATATTTAGAAAAATGTGTTAAAATTTCCTAACTTTGATGGTCCTATCTTTGCAATTCGAGGACTTTTACTAATTTTTTTTTTTAGATGAATCGTTATTTTCACTCTAGTATATGTGGTTACATTTGTTCCCCGAGTCACCGAAACACCCTGTATATATTATTTTTCTTATTATTATTAAAAAAAATAAATAAATAAATTTTAACAAAACTCTCAGTGAAATAATTAATATTATCTTTTAACTTTTAGATAATACGAAGTAAATTAATTAACCAGTTTTAATAATTGAATTATACGTAATGAAATTGTAATAACATAACCAAACAAAATAATAACTCAAATTAATCGTATTTAAGGTAAGAGAAATTTTAAATGAAAATCAAAATTAAAAAAACGAATAATAATGAAATTGATAATTATAACTTAGCTTATCTTGTAGATTACTGAAGTTTTCGGATAAGGAAACTTGGACTCTTCAAAAGGAATCGGTAACAATGATTGGATTGGAATAATTCTTCGGAATGGTATACTGGATTAATTGGATCAGGAACTAGTTCATTTTCTTTTTATAATCTTCTTATTTTAATAAGTTAAAATAATAAATTTTCTATTTTTGAGGTCATGTGACAATGGTGATTAACAAGTAACCTAACTTGCTTTGGTTTAATGATCGAGGACAAAAATTAGCGTGCGTTCCTCGTCACGTTCGAAATCACACTCTAACCTACCAATTTCGTTTGTTTATTGCAAGAACGTTTTAAATAACGTTTTCTGATTGGTTAAATTCTTCAACTTGAAATTCGTAATTTAAATTTCTCCGGTATCGCCAACTTCGAAATGTCAAATGTCACCAATTAAATTTTATCAAAAATTATTGAAATTTCTAGTTTAACAATATTTATGCATGAAATGTTGTAGTTTTATTGCCTTAACTTTGTTTTGCTGATTTCGGAACATTTTCTTTTTGATTTTAACGTGCAGCTTCAAAAATATATTCAAATATTTAATCTATGGATTTTCGCCCAATTTTTTATCAAAACTCCCATATGATGGGTGGTTTTCGTTCTTGAGATACTAAGATTATCGTTTTAAATAGTTTTACCCGGACAAATATGAATTACAATAAGAAATTAATGAAAAATGAAATTTGAGGTTATGTCACTGTCAAAATTCTACAAAATTATTTCGTATCGATTTTACATGGATTAAATACAATAAAAAATGTAAATGGTTAATAATATATAATGAATTCTAATAAATTCCTATAATTATTATTCGTAACCTCACCCAGGATTAATATGATTATGCAAAAATTGAAAAAATAATGAACGACTTGGTTATATTATTATTAATGTAGTGTTAGTTCTAGTTTGATCACTTTTGTAACTCTTACAGTTTTTATTGTGTGCTTCCATGACTAATTTGAAATAAATCCAAAGTAAAGTTTTCACTAACTTAAATATCCTACCATTTTCTAAGAATAACACACCCAATAACTTTATATCAAAGTTTTTATTGTAATGTTATAAACAAATTTACAAGGAAAAAAAGTTCTTTGTACATCTAAATCGAAAAACAAACATCCACTCCAAACATAATCCAAAGAAAAAAATGTCCAATCCTTTTCGTCTTCTTCATTGAAAATCAATTCACTTCATAACATAAAATTTAAAAAAATATTAATCAAAATTTTAAAAAAAATGATGTTTTTTACCTGGTGTTTTAATTTTTTTAGCAAATTCCGAAAGATCCCTCTTCATTGAATAAGCGTCTTCACCGTCGGCGTAATATTTAGGTTCAATTTCGACGGTTTCGAATTTTAACGAATTTTTATATAAATTTAAAGCAGCTCTATTACTTTTTCTCACATGTAAAGAGACGTATTTCGCGTCGAAACATTCTACCATCGCTTCGGATGCTTGGTCCATCAATTTCTGGGCTAACCCTAACCTTCTATGAGATCGTTTTACAGCCAACGAGGTGATATGACCATGTTTTAAATCTTCACCATCTTCTTCCATTTTAGCCAAAACATATCCCACAATATTGCCTTTTTCATCTTCAGCAACATAACTTAATTGAGGCCAACTAAGACCGTGGTAAAAGTAGTATTTCATTTGATAGTTTTCCGGCAGGCAAAGCAAGTTGCAATGTTGCATGTTCATTAAATCTTCCGGTCGAGCACATCGAATATTCATTTTGATTTATTATTTTTATCAGTCCCTTCTTAATCGTCTCCTTGGGGTTCTTCCCTCTCCTGTTGTGCTTCCGTTTTCGTTTACAGCACCCAGGAGTTCTCTAACAAGTCGAAATTGTGAAAGAAATAATTTCCACACAACGTACCAACCTGAAAAGGTTAAAACGAAAAGTTTTAAACAAAAAAAAATTGTTATTGTTGGTTTATTTTTCTTTGTTTTTGTTTATTACTGACCAAATAAAACCGCTGCGAATACAAATACAAACGAAAGTAATATAGAAACTAGTGCTAAAAATATATCTTTCATGGTATATAGCGTGAAAACGAGCGTAGATTATTTTCTAAAGGCAGTGTTTTAGCAAATATCACAAAAGTGGTAGCGCCATTTTGGTTGTCACTGACTTCGGGCTTTTATAGGTTAAAGAAACACGAAACGCTAAATCACCGCGGAAATGGTTATCTTGCACTTTTTCACGCATTTAAATACTTACGTTATGATGCAATAGCGATTTTTTTGTGGATTTTCGTAATTTGTACGTCAAAAAAGTGAGAACATCAATGTTTGCTTTTCGGTAAGAACGCACGTTGTTTTGGGAATTTAAGTTGGCAACATTGATAAAAATGACATTAAATTTAACGTGAAAAATTAAATAATTCAAATTCGTTTTTGTAGCGGAATTAAATTCAAAATTAACCGAAGTGGACTACATTCAAGGTTTTCGCAGTATTATGGGGTCATCTATGAATGGAATTAATTAATTGAAAAAATGAGGTAAGTTCAAAATATGTAGTTATAAATAAAATTGTTTTTATTGGTTATGCGACTCGAATGTAATTTAATATTTTAAAATTCTCCATAATTAGAAAGGTTTTCTTGAGTTATGTTAAATGATTTCTTATAAATGTATATAGTGTTATTCACGAGATATGGCGGTGACTCATCGCTTATGAATTAAAATGTTGGAAATAGGCAACCAAATATACACAATTTACACAAATTAATTGCAAGTGCATGTTGCATTTTATGTGGGACAGTATAAGTCCCAAAGTTTCGAAGAAATTTACTGATAGAATTGAGGTGGTTATGACATGCGTTGTATGGAAATAATGATTGTATGGTGATAATTTTGTATACGGCTAAAATTTTAATTTAGAATAGTTTTTCACACTAATGAAGATACATTAAATATGATTTTAATTCATAGTGACTGTGTTAAAGTGATACGATTATACAGACTACGATATCCCGTTAGACCAATTGCAGATCGAAAAACATTTATAAATTTATGCACAAAGCTTACTAATTTTGGAACATTTAAGAAACCAAAACGACAGAGAGAAAAACGAGCTCGAAGTATATAATGAAAATACTGCGCTTACTGCAAATAATAAATGATAACCTGCATAAATCATTGGCAACTAAAGGAAGACACGCGAATTTCTTTTACAAATACATTTTTGTCGTATAAGTGCAATTTTTACGACCAAGTGTTTTGGAAGGAATGTGGAAAAAAGAAAGGTTATATTTGAGGGCTTGGTAAGGAGCGCAATGATGTACGGCGCAGAATTATGGGTACTAGGGTTGGCAAGGGAGACTCCAGGATATATAGTGAGTGAAGAAGTTAAGGTGGATTTAATAAGGATAGAGGCTGGGAGAAGAGCAGTGAAATACGAAGAAAGGTTAGAAGGAAGGCCACACATCAAATTGCCCCTCAGCTCGGACTTAACAATTTTCCAAGCAGAAGTTCTTGCTATAAACTTCTGCACCGCTTTGAACCTACAGAAGGGACAAAAAGGTGCATCCATAAACATTTTCACAGACAGTCGGGTCGCCTTACAGGCAATTCAGGCCTACACGTGTGACTCCGCACTGATCAGAGAGT